GGCACATAACCAATCTGTGGGAGCCAGAATTCTTGCTGGTTGGTAGGGGATCAAATACTTATTTCACTCACTGAAATGCAAATCAATTTCTAACCTTTATATAATGTGTTTTTTCCTGGATTTTTTGGTTGATAGTCTGTCTCTATCTGTTAAAATAAACCTACCATAAAAATTACAGACCCTTCATTTCTTTGTAAATAGGCAAACTTAAAAAAATCAGCAGGGGATCAAATAAATATTTTCCCCACTGTAACTACTGTTTTTTAATTATAAACTTAAGACACTAATCCGCTCAATGCATTTATGTAAATACAGGCTTTTAAGGCTCAGGATGTGTGTGAATAAACATTCTATTTTATTCCACATTACTGTTCAAAAGTTTGGCATCAGTATTATTTTTTTAAAGAAACTAATACTTTTGTTCCGCAAGGATGGATTAAATTGATCAGATGTCAAAGTAAAGTGATTCATTGTCACAAAAGAGTTCTATTTCAAGTAAATGCTGTTTTTTTTTCAAACTTTCTATTCATCAAAAAATACTGAAAAAATTTATTACGGATTCCACAAAAAAGCACAACAGTTTTCAACATTGATAATAAAAAGAAATATTTCTTGAGCTTCAAATCAGCATATTATAATGATTTCTGAAGGATCATGTGTGGAGTAAAATTCAGCTTTGCCATCACAGTTTTTCGGTTTTAAAATATTAAAACAGAAAACAGTTATTTTAAATTGCAATATTTCACAATTTGAAACAATATTTGTTCTAATACATTCAGCTTTGGTGAGAATATAAGAGACTTTAAAACAATGTAAAAAATCTTACTGACCTCAAACTTTTGAGTGGTGGTGTATAAATATGTAAGCATAATCAAAGACTATCATTTACAGAATATGTGTGTGTGTGTTTACCGTAATGTTGCCCCTTCAGTCTTTATCACATCACCATCACTGAGATATGAATATTTCTTCTTCTGGTCTCCAATCACTTCTTCCTGTGGAGGGCACCGAGGGAGTTTACTGACCCTCAGCTCTGAATCTGCAACACATGCGGCTACATTATTGAGTATTTCTCATAGACAATTGTTTTCATACTAAGATAATGACATTTACATTTACATTATTAAGCAATAGCGACGAGTCCTTAAAATGTAAATTTCACATATTTGGGGCACAAATGTCAAAACCTGTAGACAAACAGACATATTATTCACCTGTGTGAAAGTTTGTGAGTATATCCGGCACTCCTCCAGTGTGGTCGTGATGCCAGTGTGTGACTATAATGTGCTGTATGGACGTCTCCTGCTGCGTCAGTGCCTTGCGCAGGTTGACAATATACTCCGGTACCGCGCGCTCGCCTGCATCAATCAACACTCGCCTGACACACACACACATTAAACATTCACAGACTTGTTACGTTCAATAACTCAAACAAGCACATTTATCTCGTGCACTGGTTCACGCGTCATTGTGTCTGAGTGTTGTAACTTTACCTCCTGCCTGTCCCGACCAGGTATGTGTTGGTGCCCTGCAGTGTCATGGGCCCCGGGTTACAACCCAAAACACGCACCACTCTCGATGACAGCTGCTCGATACGAGGAATTATCGAGGACATTTTCACCAGGACCACACAGACACAGCACGAACTTTAAAAGACCCCTGAAAACGCTCCTGCTACAGAGCAGACGAATGACACTGAAACTTCCTTCTTCTTCTTTGGGTTTTAACAGCAGCTTGCATCCTTAACGTTGCATTACTGCCATCTTCTGGTTCTAGTTATTTCCCATATACTTTAGTCATCATATTCTTGTCATGAGTCCCGTTTTAGTCAGAAAGCAAATCAAATATTTAATTCCTTGTTCACTCCTACTGCAGTCCATTATATTCTTTACTCCACGTCCTGTTAGTCCTATTTTTTCCATGTCATTTATCATATCCATCCTCTGTAATTCATATTTTGAACAATTAATAAGCACATGTTCTACAGTCTCAGGTATTTGGCACTGGTCACAAAACCCAGTTGGATGTTTTCCCATAATATGAAGAGTGCTATTTAATTTATTATGCCCTATTCTTACTCTGGTCATAATAGTCTCTTCTCTCCTGTTTCCTCCCTTATTATCCACAGTGCCAACTCTTTTTTTAATCAAGTATAAATGTCTTCCTTTTAGTTCTTGATCCCACCTTTGTTGCCATTCTTTAATAATTTTTCCCCACACTATACTCTTTCCTTCTGATCTTGAAAGGCTGATGACTGCTTCTATGCTCTCTTTTTGCCGTGCTTTCATAGCTAATTTGTCTTCCTTTTCGTT